CTCTCACGTCTGTTCCTCTAGCCGGTTTGCTGACCTTCAACCAGGGGAAATTAAGTAGCATGATGAACTGGTTTGGGCGAAACAAGGGATTGATTGGGTTTTCGAAAGCCTCAGTATGGTCGGGAGTGGTTGTTTCTGGTTGTGGCTGGTCACCCCGCCCTTGCACCTCGTGAAAAAGCTTCTACACGACTAAGCGTCTCAAATAGTTTCCGCTGAGGAAACCCCATCCACTGCCTTCACGTGGCGGAGGTATTTTCCCACACCAAAGTGAGAGGACGAAATGCCATTATACCGGAGTATAATCGGGTCAGTGGACCATTTGCAGTTCACCCAATGGGAGTTGACTAAAAACCCTAATTTTAAACCAATCAAGGAGAGGTGTACGAACCACACACACACACACACACACACCTTCCTGGTTGTGGTAATGGTCACCGGCTCGATTGGGTATCGAAGTGTATTGGGCACCTTGAACGTCTGACCCTGTCCAAAGGTTGTATGATTCGATGAACTGGACGCCGGCCCCCAATGGGTTGCGGTTTTCGCACACCACCCCGCTGCCTTGCGGATCAGGCTTTGATTAGCCAAGGGATCTGGTTGTGGATTCCTCAAGAAAATTCACCTGCCTGGGCCTGGGCCACCTGTCAGTATTCCGCCCACATGCAAATCATGGAACGTTTTTGTTTTTCGTAAAAATTATTGTACCGTGATTTGTTTGGCACACACAGTCTGGATTCAGACGTGTGTGAAAATAAATAGTAAATAAAGTTCTTTCAGGATGAGGTGAGTAGCTTTTAGCCACTTAATTTATCAATTTACTCAAGTTATCGAAAACGCGCTAGTTCGCCACTCGTGTTGTTCTGTCAATGTCACGATGGGAATTTTTAGTGAATTACAAAACCGCAAGGAAAACCTGATTGCAAAGGCGCTGAATCGTTATTTGTGCTTTAAAACCAGATTTGCCGAAGCGAATTCAATCATCGGTCTTCTGAACGAGTGCATCGAGTAAAACGAGTATCCTCGGAGCTAATGGAAGTCTCTGAGATACTCTCGAAAAAAACCAGACCAAGTAACGTTCAAAGTCAAATCAGCTGGATACTGTGTAGGAATTTGCAGCAATTGGAGTGTAATGAAGTGTAATCAAGAGATATATCCTCGACCAATTAAGCAGCGAAGAAAGCAACCAGAATTCGAGCAGTCTGCTGAGCGCATTTGCACCAAGCAGGGGCTAACGTGAAACGGACAAAACTGAAAGAGACTACGAACCAAAAAATGGACCAACTTGTCCACCCCTCCAGAACGGTATGTTCGCAGTATATTCCAATTAACCTATGGATACGCATCTGTTAGAAGCTTTATCGTTAGAATTGAAAAATCTATATATTCATAAACCGGATCTTTAGTCACCACAAAACAGCGGACAATTGAAGATTTTAAATCTATACTTGTAGACTATGCTTATCAGTATGCTCGGACGTATAAGTCACACAAAAGTATCCTAATCAGCCAACACAAAGAGGGACTAAGAAAACTGAAGCTGAACAAGGATATTGTCATTGCTAAATCTGACAAACGCTCCGGCTTGGACCGTGCGGATCATATTGTTCACATGAATAACCTCTTGGGAGATAAGACGAAATCAGTGAAAGTTGCAGGAGAGGAATAAAACGAAAACTGTACAGAAATGACCGCTTCACTCATGTCCCTGATGGATCGGAATATCAACCCTAAAGCGGAATATCTGAGACCAATAGGAACCTCTATTCCTCACCTT